GCCTGCTTCACTTTAGATGGAATTGTGGCACTCAAGACAGAATCTCTCAGAATTTGGGAAATGCGCAGCGACGATGAACATTTGAACATTTCATTCATCTACGTCATCCCAAGCTCAACTGAAGCGTTTTCCGTTCACATCTACCAGAACTTCTATACTAAAATAAAATAGAAATAAGGGCCACGGGCGGCAGGACTCCGTGTCCCGTGATCGTGAATATGTACATATGTATTTATAAAAAGTAAAATATACAGATTGTACCTCGAAATATTATATATTTACTTGTGTTGGTGAAGTTCGATCAACTCGATTGGTCTTAAAGGTATACGTTTTGAAAAATTGTGATCCCTGAGACCTTGGATGACGGACAAGCTTTTCGAACTTCTGATACAAAATATGTGCGCCTAATGGCATGTCGCGTGTGTGTACACCATAGGGGCAGATTCACAGTGAGCACTTGTATTTCGCATCGAAGGGTGTGGGGGTGAGCAACCCTCACCTACACTAAGCACTAGCGCTGAGAGGCCCAAATAAAATATACACGTATTTATTAACATTGCTTTTGGATTGTAATTTTTACTTCAGATCGTGCTTTGGCCATTTGACAATGTCGCACCCATTGCGATCACAGAGTCCTATAACTTTCGTCTTCGGCATGTTGATCCCAGAATGGATGAGAAGCCAGCCGTTCAAATAACTGCAAGAGTGAGTGTGTTGGGTTGTGACCATAGAAATCGTAGGGAACCCTAATAAGTTTCGTTGATAGCTGTATGCAAAAGAAATTGTATTACCTCGTGTGCTGCATTTTTGAAATAACATGATTAGAGCAAAGCAAAGCTGAGTATATTTATGATGAGCTCGACTACTGCTTATTGAGGCGCGCAAAACAAGAATGAGCCTTGCGTGCCAAGACGTAGTGCAAGTGCGCGCACAACAGGAAAAAGGCGAGATATAGAAGATATTAACAAGCGTACTGTGTACTTTTACTACCAAAACTAAAAGTGGCCTATTGGTTATATTTTATTGCATTTACACTATGCTATGATCATATCGTCAGTTCCCTCACATGTGTTGTCATCCCAATCGCATCTCATATCTGCAGCACACAACGCCGCAGTTGTGAAAGCAGCGCAAATGGGTGTATTCTCAGCCTCGATGAGAGACTCATCAGCCTCGCACTCGTCTCCACCAACACCATTGTCCCATTTGCAGTACTTGTCTGCACCACAGGCTACCTCATCCGTATACTTATTGTCACAATACTTTCCAGCATTCTGGAATGTACCGGTAGCAGGCACGGTGACTCCAGTCATTTCAGCGCTTATGGAACCATCAGCATTAGTGATCACCGAGATAGCATCCTCGCTACCTTCACAAACCGCGTCTTCCCAATCGCAAGCAGTGTTGGTATTACATGTCTCCTCGGTTGTAAGGGCTACGCATGAGGCGTCATTAATTAGTTTCACCGTGTCTTCATCGGCTTCACATCTTCCATCGTCCCACTCGCAGAAAATAATTTCAATACAGACGGTTTGGTTTGTGTACGACTCACAAATAACATCAGGCACCACTAATGATGGTGTTCCTGGGGCAACTGTTGCTGAAGTTGTTGTTACTGGAGCATCCGTGCTAGTCGCTGCTGCACTGGTTGTAGCGGCTGTTGGAGAAGAAGCGTTTGTGGCAGGCATAGGAACAATGACGAAGGAATCACCACCTTCGCACACATTGTCGTCAAGCTCACAACGCAGATCGGCAAGACACAATGCCGGTGTGAGAGAGGCACAAACAAGTTGATTGGCGTCTTCTACACTATTGTCGTCATCCTCACATTCCTCATCGCCAAGTACATCGTCGTCAAAATCACAATATTGGTTTGCGTCACATGTGGTCTTGTCCAGAATTGACAAGCAGTAGTTTTCTACATCTACATATATACTACCTGTCGGAGGAAGGGTGATGCCAGTGGTATCTAACGTTATTGTGCCGTTGGCATCCTTTACGACTGATATGGCTCCATGTTGTCCCTGACATTCGTCGTCATCCCACTCGCATCTTGCATCAGTAGAACATATGGCTTCTGTTAAAGCGGCGCAAGCGATATCGTTTATGCGCTCGACCAAGTCCTCGTTCTCAAAGCAATCAGGATTGACTAAGAAGGCTTTCCACTCACAAAATTGTAGTTCCGCACATTGTGCCTCGTTCGAGCCGCCACACATAAATGCAGCATCCTCAATGTACGGTACTCCTGCCGTAGTAGTGTCATTGGTTTGTCGAGTTGCCATGGCCTGCACGGCTGCCGATAGAACCCCAATAGATAAAATCAGCGCGATCATTACGACGAAGTAATTGTGTTTTGCTTTACAGGAAGCTTTAGGTGGGTGGGGAGTAGCTTACTTGCTTGTGTCTGTTTCTCGGTGCGTCGGGCTTTATGTATTTACATACATTTGTCCCAAAATTTGTATATAAATATATTTATTATAACAGTAGGAACACAACAACAGTGGGCATTGGGCACTGGGCACTGTGGGCAGTGGGCAAAGTGAAAAGTATGCTCGCGAGTCTTGACCTCGTCCGCGTCGTCTAGACAGATTTCAGTTTCCACTACACTTTCTTTTGATATATAAAAAGCTGTATATGTAGAATTTCCTAATTTGGTCATTTTGATTTTGTACTCTTAACACATTGGGAATCTAGAAAACCCGAAACCCTAGTGAAAACCCAAAATTTAATACTAAAAGTATGTACATCTATCTGGTAATAAACAAACGATTTCTGGCCTCACAAATTCAGAATACATAAAGTGTCCAAAATAGTGAAATTCGTACTGGAGGGCCTGTAGGTACCAGGGAGTGTAGGCTGACTAGGCTCAGGCTGTGGCCCAGTTAAAAAGTGTCATCTGGGATTCCGCTATTTTATCTCTACTCTCGACTGCTCTCGAGTCTCGACAGTACAGTATTTGTGATGCACTGATGCTCCTCAGCTCCTGCCTCCTGGAGTCATGCGTCCTGACTCCCGAGACACAAGTCCACATCTTATTAGTTTTTATTTATCATTATGGAAGAAGAGGTACTTTTTAGTTCAGTTTTTGAACGATTGCATCACATAAGAATGAAAATCTGGTTTGTTCACTAAAGTCCCTTTCTTCCCGACTGCTAAATTTATAATGTTTCTACTCTAAAGAGTACATTATGAGCAATAGAGTCAGAAGTTGACATAATACAATTGAGAGGATGTAGTATGTACTAAATATGTATAGAGTTTAGAGTATAGACTACCATATAGTATAGACTATAGAGTCTACTGTAGACTAAGACAAAAGACTCCCTAAGTCGTGACATTCTCTAGAGAAAAGTGAATACTGTATAGTTAATAGAGTAAAAAAAGTAAAAACTGATCACAGTGATCACTGATCAGGCGACACCGGATAACACTGGAACAGAGGACAGTGATCACTGTATATTGTATACTGTATACTACATTCATGTCCTTCGGACAATAGTCCGATCAGGCATATTTTACAGTGAAGAGAGTATATAAAATAATAAAGCATTCTTTGGCACAGACAAGAGGCGAAGACGGGCACGACACACACCAGCGACTCATCTAGAGTCATCTTATAATATTTGCATCTATACTTTAGAAGGCTACAGGGCACAGGCTGTACACTGTAGTCTGTAGTTTGTAAACACACAGTCCCTGAACAAGCTGACTGGGATGTATATTTAAGTCGGGGATTGTCGTCATGTTGTGCCGGAACTCCTGGGAACTGAGCCGACAACATGCTCTTACACTGGCGGAATAATTTTTTTCCAGTTCACATAGTATGCAATAGAAACTATTCGAGAGTCGTGTGTTCCATACGGCTCTCTCCCTGCTCATTACATCGTGACATAGTAAAAGAATGGTATTGTTACAAAGAGAATGATATTGATCCAGAGAGAAACGGGCTGATACGCCCTGCATGTACGATCAGTATAAATACAACCACTAGACAATCCGAACAACAAACCCAAAAAACCAAGCTACTGTTAATTTCAACTCCAAGCCTAGTTCAACAGATATACCACCAATATGATTTCGCAGATTTTAATGATCGGGCTTCTTTCCGGAGCCGTGCAAGCTATGTCGACCCGGCAAGCAAATGTCACAGTAATGTCTGGAGAGCCGTACATTGAGGATGCTGCATTTATGTGTGGCGGCTCGAACGAGGCGCAATGTGCGGAACTACAATTTTGTGAGTGGAAAGCCTTCTTAGTCAATCCTGATTGCTTTGAGAACGAGGACTTGGTCGAGCGCATAAACGATATCGCTTGCGCCGCTTTAACAGAAGCCATATGTTCTACTGATGCAAGATGCGAGTGGGATGACGACGAATGTCAGGGACAACATGGAGCCATATCAGTCGTAAAGGATGCCAACGGCACAATAACGTTAGATACCACTGGCATCACCCTTCCTCCACTGTCCCTCTCTAAATTCATCTCCAAATGTACATTACTCTCCCGTACTTTTATATGTATCACTTAACACCAAATTAAGGCTCCTAATGGCCTTTGCGTGCTTCAGCAGGCGAAATTTGAGTGAAACATACCCGAGTTTGTCTTCATGGTCAACTTTTATTTAATATAAGTTAGCACTACAATATCTCACGTAATCTTTCCAAGAATTTTTTATCAAACATGTCCTCACTGAACCTGTGCGACACACTTGCCCTTGCCACTGTCTGTACAACCTGTCGCTCAGCGTCACCCATGTCTGTGATGAGCAGTGAACAAAGAGTAAAAATACGACATATACTTTATAAACGTGGGGAAAGAATGGTATGTGGTAGTTCTTTGATGAGTAAACGACTGAAACTGACCACATAATATATGTAGGTTTTGACATCTAAACAACAGTGATTTGGCGTCTATTGACCTCTTAAGTGGAACAGAAGTTGTGACATTCCGTAGTCCAGAAAATAGTAATTTGATGAAAGAAAACGATGACAGTTCCAGACCAAAAATCCGACTGTGCTTGGATTATCAGAGGCACGAAACACATCTGGGCATTGGACGGTGTCTGTCAATCCAGATAAAGTACAGTCATGTTCACACAAATGCAACACAATGAATGGTGAACGCGAACCGAAATTTCAGTTTAGGCGTACACAATACACTATCATTGCCAGGGGGGTACAGCAAATCGATGCAACAATGAATCGCGGAGACATACCCAAGAGAATATGTTTCAGCTGTTGCGCGTATTGCCCTTGTGTGGACGCGCGATAGCCACACGGTCCTTTACCTTGGAATTCTTCAAGGACAATGTCAAATCTGGTATCGAAATTGTAAGTACGTAGAAACGTTTGAGGTACACGGTTGGGTTCCACCTCCTACGACATGTGCGACAATGGCCTCGAAACGGAAATAAAATCCGTGACCTTTCACGCAAGGTGACACCGGAATGGGCGATACTTTTCCTCACCAACACGAATCGACACAAACGCAAAATGCGAAGGGTTCGGTTGCTACTCACTTTGGCCCAGCAGTATCGTGTGCGAGGGCAATGACGCCGGCAGCCAGGTATTCCACTACCCCAATGCCAAAGTGCTCATTCCACATGGTGTGCATACCCACCTGAGCGGTGGCCAGATGATCCTTCAATTCGGAGTATGTCACCTACATAGTAGAGTTTATCATATGAGCGGATATGAAAGGGTGGTGACTGGATAAAAAAATGTGCTAAAAGTAACGAGTAATAGACTAGCTGCAGATAAGGCTGGGAGCGCGAATGGTAAATGCTGTGATATATGGCCGTGTCAATGGCCTATGTGACACAGTAATTAACCTTATGTGCACACGCAAGAAATCAATCTGATCCGCGTCCACTTACATTTGTCTTGAAGGATATATATTGCGAAATACTGAGGCTGTCGGCAAGTAGTTTGAGATTCCGCACTCGATTCTCATCATCTTCGTTGCGGCATCCACCGATCATATATAGCTTGGTATCGTTTTCCTTCGCCAATGGATTCTCCCTCAAATATTGATCGAGCGCCCTAATCTATTTGTGACCAAGTATTGGTTAGTAAAATAGTAGTATGACCCACAAGCTGGAACAGCACGGACTTGGTATAAACAGTTGTGAAGGAATGGGAAAGCAATCGTAAAAACGTTCAAACTATTCCTATGCATTGCATCTGGGATCAATTATTTACCAGGTAAAGCCAAACACTTTAGGGCCGTGCTGGGAAGTGTATCGCCAGTACAATGGTTCGATAACATTCGACCGTCAAATAGATTTCAAATCATTGGATGTACGGCACTTTGCGGACCAAGACTGTGACCAGCCACTGAGCCCATATCGAACGATAGACGGATACACACAGATACATACAGACAGTATTTGCATTTGGTTCCGGTCAACTTGTATATCATTGTACTCTAGCGTCCTTGCACAATAATAACCGCACACATATAGGTCCCTGCCTACCTGCAGTTCATGGTCCTTTTCCGGTCGAAACTGTGCAACAGAGATAATCTTATTGGGCACACGCCTCTCCGTGAGGGGCAGTGCTTCAAACCCCACAGTATCACACGGTGGATACACAATGGATGTAACACCCTCCCTGGTGTTCCATATGGTGTCTATGTTATCAAAGGTCCAAGTGGAGTTGACCATGACTACGTTTGCCAAGCCCCCCACGAGCCTGTACAGATACACGAATGCCTTGTAGTAAGTCTCTTTCCCCTTGCTCAAAACAGCGCTGCGAGATACCGTGCCTCGGTTATTGTGAGCGGCCTCCCTATTTTGAACCTACAATCCGTGAGCACATGCCACAATATCATGTAAATTTCTAATGCGGCTGACGAAAATTATAACATGAAAGACGTAGGGACAATGATGGTGAAGCGGGGGAGCCACAACTAAACGGCGAAATTTGTTCCAAATCAATCGCTGATATAGCAGTGTTGCCATGGCTACTGAATATTCCGTGTACTAGGTTTATTAGCGCAAGATGGGTCTGTTAAATGCTTGAAAATTGCAGGGGGGGGTATAGAAAAGCAGATGTGCATGTAAAATGTCGGCACTTCACATAATAATAATATCAGTCTTAACGTGGACAACTCTCATAAAATGCAAGAGATGCCGAAGAAACCCATCTTAATAGCACATTTGTACTTTTATGAGTTGAGTTGTACTCGGAGAATACATGTAGATATACTTCTAGCAAACATGTAATAAAAACACACCTTCGTCAGCATGTCTGTGCTGATTGTGGGATAGTGAACATACGCGCCCACTTTGCAATCACACAGAAGCCTGAAGAGTGGGTACGTGAACGCATAGCCCATCGTGTCAATGTAGATATCAGGCACACACTTCTGCATCGCCTCCCAACCCAAAATAATCGACCCGATGCTCTGCCCTAAAAGTGTAAAAACCTAGCCAAAATGATTGGTTTGAGTACGAAGACTAGTAGTCTGCAGAACATGCACAAAAAGCTGAGTGTCAGTTCATTGTGTTGCAAACACATCCGAATCTGCTATATTTCGTGACAAGGTGCATGGGCATTGGTGTACACTCTAATGTATATGCCACTGCTCAATCAGCCAATTTTAACAGAAGAATGTGCAAACAGTCATCGTGCACATACCGGATATCGCTTGGCCTCGACCCAATGCCGCTTCTCTAAAAACACAAACTCGACGGGCCGTAGAGGTGAAACTCCAAAGGCTTTTTTTGCCTGCATCTCCAGCAAAAATGGGACGAGTTTAGTGTATGTTGGTGAGATTTGTTATACTCGAATTATTTATTGCTTTCCAATGATCATTCCTCTTTTACCAATATAGCACATACGAAGATCCTCAGAAGAAAAAAGGAAAGGCGAAGTGATGGATGTCTAGCTGACGTGAAATGGCAGAGAAAACCTGGCAGGGATAGGATCGACAGCGGTTGTGATTGAACCACTACAGACCTTCTCAAAAGATGACGTACATGTCGTCCGTTCAAGAAATCAACCATAGCAGTGCAAATAACAGATTCCGATTGCAAAAGTCGAAACTTTTTGTGTGCATGCTCTACTGCACTGTGAACGCATGCGTAATGATATGCAACCAACCTCTGGTGGTGCGCTATTCATCAACATTAATATGTAGTCAGACAGGTAGAAGGACTACATGATTAATAGATCAACTTGCGCAGATACAACCATCACCTATTCAGTTAGTCCAATCCATTGAACACGACACAACACATACTGGGGTCAGCATGGATACAATATATATATATATATATGTATATATATATATATTCGTTCGTGCATATATCTACTTACAAACATATAGATATGTCTTCATAAATACGTACATGAATGCACATAAACACACACACACGCACACGTACACACACACGCACGCACACACACACGTGTGCACATACACGCACACGTACACACACACACGCACATAAACACACACACATACACACACACACATA